CTTTTTCCATAACTTTCCTTTCAGTATCCAAAACTGTTAGCTCTCATATTTCATTTAATGTAAAAGTATGAAAAAGTATTACTRCAAGTGTTGACAGAAGGGTTCATTCCACAKAAGATCACAGAGGACCAACAACAGAAGATGTTCATTCAAACAAGTCAAAAGTGACAGAACCTCTGTTGTCTCTCACAGAGGTTCTGGAAACTGGTCCTCTGGCAACAAAAGCTTACAAGTCAAATGCAGCAGAGCCTCTGGAATAGATCATAGAGGGTCTGCGGGTTTACCTTCTGTGAAGAACCACTTCTTACTGTTTTACTTAGGTTAGTTAGCTGCACGTGCTTCTCACGTGACTATGTTTGTAATCGACTTTATTTGGATGGCTTGGATCGTTTCACACGTCTGGGTCATGTCAGAAAATCCGTTAGGAACTAGTATAAATAGCAGCTAGGTCTTTGTAATTCTGTAAGCTTCCGAATTGTAATTGTCAATATTTTCAATCAATTGAAAATCATTTGAAGCGATTCTCTCGTGTTCTTCATATTCATCAACTGTGTGTTCTTGATTAATTACTCTGTTTGTTCTTATACTGTTTCCGCTGCACTGTTATTGTTCTTAAAGATCATCCAGAGTATTTGGTTAATATCAAAACTGAGTTTACAGGTTCTAACAATTGGTATCAGAGCAGGAATCAAATTCTTATTTGATTAATTCTGTTCTTGGTATTAATCTGCATTTGTTTTAGAACACCAGTCTTCTTCTCCAGGTTACATTGTTTCACTCTATTCTATCAGATTCATCTTATTTCTATTTTTTCTTCTTCTTTCAATGGCGAATCTGGCCAATACATCATTCATGAGCACTGGTTCTCAATCTAAACCTCCCACGCTAATTCGTGAGGAGTATCCTCAATGGAAAGTGCGAATGATTAATTTTCTGGAAGGAATTCACCCAAGGATATGTGAATTTCTTTATAATCCTCCTTATGTGCCAATGAACTTAATCCCAAGAGTTCCTGCAACTGGCACAACCCCAGAAATTCCTGAACATTACGAACCAAGACCTGCTGCTAATTGGAGTGATGAGGACAAAATAATGGTTGAATTGGGCAGTAAGTGCAAACGATTGTTAATTGTGGCAATACCTCACGAAATCTTCAAATGCATCGATCACTGTCAATTGTCCATGGATATTTGGGTAGAATTAGAAAAGCAGATTGAAGGAGGTAAGAAAACACTCAAAAACAATCGATCGATTTGCATTGACGAGTACCATAGCTTCAAGGCGAAAGAAGGTGAATCCCTGTCGGACACATACTCTAGATTAAACACCTTGATTAGTAACTGCAAGAGGTATGGAGTCATGAGAACGACAGAGGATAACAACTCGTTATTCTTGAAGAGGCTTGGAGTTGAGTGGATGCACCTCACCATGTCCATGAAGGCCACCTTAGACTTGGAAATATGGACTCTGGCTGACTTGTTTGGCTCTCTTAAAAGTCAAGAGCCTCAAGTTTTGCAAATGAAGAAAAGCTATGGTGGTCCAATAGCTCTGGTGGCAGAGGACGGCAGTTCTGGGAAGAGGAAAGGAGTGCAGAAGGAAGAGAAGGAGAAGGAGAAGAAGAAGGTTCTGATAGCAGAAAGTGATGAAAGTTTTGATGAAGAAGTCTCAATGAAGGAGATGATGAAAACTCTGGCCTTGATCACCAGAGAATTTAGAAAGGGTGGTGAGAGGAAGGAATACAAAAGTTTCAACAGAAGAAACTTTACAGAATGAGGTAGATCGAAAGCAGGAGAGAAGGAACAGAAGCCTCTACAGAAGATAGAGGAGCAGAAGAAGGAAGAGTCGAAGGAAGGTTGTTTTAGATGTGGCAAGCCAGGCCACTTTGTAGCAGACTGCTGGTCAAAAGGGCCAAAGGCACCACAGAGGGCTCCTAGAGATGCAGCCTTCTACAAAAAGAAGGCTGACTACTACCAGCAGAAGTCTCTGCTAGCTCAATCAAGTGAGCTAGTAACCGATGAGTCCCCTGATAAAGATGAACAGAATGGTCTTCTCGCTTGGGAAGACTCAAACACAGAGGATGAGCTCTTCTGTGGGATGGCCAATATTGACTCTGACTCCTCTGCAAGAAATGACCAAGAGGTTTCTACTTCCTACTCTTCTGAATCTCTTGATCTTTACACAGA